TCACTTTTAATGGAGCCTAATGCTTATAGGGCCAACAAAGGTGGGGAACCGTGGCTTATTAAGAGGTCTTTAACATCCTTATAAACTCCTCTTGCAAACATATGCATGTGATGTTTACTCTCATTTTCTGTGTGAGCCACTGATGAAAGACACATCTTAGTCTTCAGCTTACTAAATGTTGAATATGAATTTGAACGTGATTTAAGAAGCATATTTACCATTTATTTTAAAATTATTTATTCACTTTTACAATAAATGAAAACCACAAGGCACATACGGTTCAATAAAAACATGACAAATTAAAAAGCATACATGATTTGTTTAAAAAAAATATGTACAGTCATACCAATACGTTTTACAAAGTGAGAGAAGGTGAAAAGAAATTAAAAAGCGAAAAGGCAATGACAGCCTTTACACACTGCTTTCAACACCACTTAATGGCTTTCATCCTATGCAAACTGACACAGAGGTATCAGCAGTCAGGTCACTCTGACTATTAGCCTCTGTGGTCAGAGACAAAGCAGAAAACGTCCTGCTTATGTTAATCATCCCAGTAATAAAGTTGCCACTTGGTGGCACCATAAGTTATATTTATAAAAGAAACAAAAGTCAGATCAAGAATAAAAATAACACCATGAATACTCACTTTTTTTTCTTCAATACATTTTAAAGTGACACAGTAATGTACTGTGTTCCAGTGCATTTAGCAATTTTTTGTGCATTACTATTTAAAAATAGTCTTTAATATGCTTCATTTTTTTCATAAATCTTTAAGCATCATACAAATAAATAACTCTGAGTGAGCCATGGCCTCTTGCAGATTGAGAGCCATTATTCACATCTTCACTCGACCTCCTGTTTTCTCTGTAACCCTGAGGCTGTGGATATTAACGGCCTTTCTCTAGGCTGTCCTGTGACTGCCATCGTGAAGGCTGAGCTTCTCGTTTCTCATCAGACTGTCACCGTTTAAGCGCGGGTGCATGGCAATGGCTGTAGCCGGCACTGTTTTAGTCTTTGGCCTGCATGCACGAGAACACACCAAGAAAAAGATCTCTGCTAGATTGAGTGCGAGAGAGACGCAGGACACCGCCAGCATGAAGATGATGAAGATGGTCTTCTCCGTGGGCCGAGACATGAAGCACTCCACGGTGAAGGGACAGGGGGCTCGGGAGCAGACGATTCTTGGGTCCATGACAAACCCATACAGATAATACTGCCCCACGATGAACGCCACCTCCAGAACGATTCTGAAGAAAATGGAGGTCATGTAGCTCCCCAGCAGGTTACCTTTAATCTTGATGTGGCCCTTTTCATCCGAGTACTTGGGCGGTTTGACGATTTCAGTGGACTGGTTCTTCATGATTTCTCTCATCTTGTTTTCTTTGTGGATGACGTGGAGGACGTGACCGAGGTAGATCAGCGTCGGCGCTGAGACGAAGATAATCTGGAGGACCCAGAATCGAATGTGTGAGATGGGGAAGGCGTGGTCATAGCAGACGTTCTTGCAACCAGGCTGTTTGGTGTTACAGACCATACTCGACTGTTCATCACCCCAGACCTGTAAAGTCCAGACGAGAAAACTAACATCATTATAATGGACAGTGTTGAATTATTGTCATTCACATTGAGGCCTTTTATTTAAAGCATAACCTCAAAGCACAGCTTGCCCAGTTTACACTTTTGTTGTGATTTTAGAGAACTATTGGAGAGCTGTGCTAATAATGGCTCATAGGCTGCAGACCTCCATCATGGCCACTAGGGGGTGTTAATGGGCAAGAGGAGATATTGACCTTTTCTGCTCCAGCTCCGAGGATCATGATCCTGAAGATGAAAAGCACACTGAGCCAGACTTTCCCCACGACGGTGGAGTGAGACTGGACCTTGTCCAGCAGAGAGGACAGAAACCCCCACTCTCCCATTTCTCTGATCTGATGAAGAAGAGCAAATGGAAAAAAAAACAATAGTTTAAAAAACCTTTATGCTGTTTTTAAAAAAAATATCAACTGTAAGCAAATTATAATTGCTTGATTGCTAATGTGACACAGCAGATGATATATAATGGTTTAAAAAAAATAGGGAATAATATCAGACATTAAATATTTTATTAACTGGGATGATCTTTAAGTTTGTGAATTTTGGCGCCCCCCTGTGGACAAAATATTTAATATGCCATCAGCCCGAGTGAATTATAATCGATCTATAAGCTGAAGTTAAAGATACATATTTAGAAATAGAAAAGTTTTAATGAGCATCTCAAAACGATTAGTTTCTTATTTAGATTGAATATCAATAAATAAACGATAAATGCAGTAAATACAAGATCCAATCAAAACTCAGTAACCCATTATTATCCTCAGATAGTTTTCAAAAATATGGGAAGACCTTTTGGCTTTAAGTATTAAAGACTGGATCAATAAATCATGAATTGTGTTTAATGACCCAGTATTTTGTCAATACTGTTCATTTACAACTCTGTTTTTTGCACATTTACATCTACCTCCAGCAAAGTATGTTGTATTTAATCTTTCATATTTAAGACTAGAAGTAATGCTTAATTAAATCCGGAATGTATATATTCTCATTCTTAGTCTTGATATTTTTAGTACTTATTTACTTTGTATTTAGTATTATATTGTGTTTATTTGTAAATATTGTGTGTTTGGATAACCTGCTGCTGTAACACCACAATTTCCCAGTTTGGGATCATTAAAGTAATTTTATTCTATTCTGTTTTATTCTATTTTTTTAAATCTCAATATTAGATTTAGCACAGTAGTTATGGCAAAAACATTCTCTTTAAGTCAACTCTGCACCACATTACACAAAGTACTGGATACTGTTATTATTAAATTTAACGTGTTCAACACAGCAGAAAGTCTGTTCTGGCTCTTATCTTCAGTGTAGTATGGAGCGCTCAGAACATAAACACAGAGCTACACAATGTGCATAACAAACACCCGTCTCGAGATTTCTTACTGTAAGTGATCGGCTGTAGAAAAAAAAATAGAAATATGTTATATTCTGCAGCTCTTACTTTGCAAACTGCATGCTTAAGTAGCTCAGATTAGGAGAAGTAAAGCATTATTTTACTGAGGTGAGGAAAAGTAAAGGGATTTTTCTCATAGTATGTATTAAAGAAGTGGACATATCCACAGTGACATTCCCCACTGATGTGTTTAGCCCCCTTTGGAAGCCTCAAACTTCATATTTTTAGTTTTTTTAGGGCCAGAAGAGGCGTTGGGATATCTCAATCCTGGTGCAGGCTGCCATAGAGCATGATATAGACCTTCTCTTTTTGTAAAGTGTCTTGAGATAACATTTGTTACGATTTGACGCTGTACAAATAAAGATTGATGAGAGATCATTTCCCATGACAAGAAAAGCGTGTTTACCAGGAAATAACGCTTCATCTTGGAAAACATTTGGGGGAAAGTAATCATTGTCAAGAATAGTTTACTCGGTGTGTTGAAATGCAAAGGTGATACCTAACATTATGGAAAAATGCACAAGTATTAAAAGATGGTGGTCTGTAATTTCTTACTTAAATCAACGCTGTTTCAAACCTCTGCCAATGTCAAAATAATCTCATAATAACAAATGCCATCTCAATAAAAGCGGTGATTGTGCTTTTTCAAATAATACCTGAAATATCCCAGTTGGAATTCATTACATTTTAAAATGATTCCACAGTAACATCATTAAACACGTCATAATTAAAGATCCTACCTTTGAGCGTACAAGTCCTCTGTGCAGACAAACAGAGCAGCCACTCAGCTGTAGAGCTCGAGTTATAGAGAGCCCAGTGAACCGAGTCAGACCTGTCTACGGTGCCTGAACTTTAGATGGGATGAAATTGCACAACAGTGTGGGCTGTCACGTTGTCATCTGGAAATGATAAAGTTCCCAAAGTGTCACATTTTTTGGGGCTCAGCACTGTGCAGGTTAATGATTGGCAGTGCTATAAAAATGATAAAATACGTGCAATCAGGGTTTTTCTACAGCTCTTATGTAACTTTCTATCAGTGTAGAAAGCAACGTAAAAAGAGGTGGACAAAAAAAATCTCCCCTTTCAGCACTTTTGTATCTCATAATATCTGCCAGCCATGTCTCCACAAAGCGAGTATTTTGGCAAAAATCAAGGTTTAAAGGCCACATGCAGAATAACACAAACACCTGTGCAGACTGATGCAACCCAGTGCGTTCACCCTGCAACGAATAGTACGTGACAAATGAACAGCCATGTTCACTTCTGTTCAGACTGTGTCAACAGAATCTTTTTTTGGGCTCATTTACACAAAAGTCTGCACCGACTGAGCAAATACGTTTCACTCAAATGCTTTGTTAAAGGGAATTCTTATTCGGTTGACGCATGTGCGAGGTCGCCGTGAGTTTTTGTGCAGCTCCTTCTGTTTCAGAGGATACATTTGATCCCTCACATGTGTCACATTTAGTTTATGTTCTGTCCTCCTGATGTTAACATCCTTCACCTCTATATCTGCTATCAGTGCATGCTTATATCTGCTGATATATCACCCACTCTCTGGTCAGAAGTTATAGAAAGAATCATAAAGTTGTGAGGGTTTATGGATTTATGACTCCCAAAACAATTCATTGACACCAAATTCGATTGTTTTGTAAGTATTTTTATGTGGAAATACCAACAAATTTCTCTGGTTTAAGGGTAAACAAATGTGAGTTTTTTAAGGTTTGTTCACTTATCAGTGAGCCTCTTTCATTTGTGACTGATGGTTGTGCTACCCTTAGACTTCTAAAAGAACTCTTTGATGGATGTTTTCCATAATGTGTTGACATTTTATAAACTTTATTTAATCTGTTAATGGAGTGGAGTATCCCCAGACTTATGAGGAATGAAAACCTTCAGTTTTAGCTGTACCGTGTTCCAGAAAAGGTCCTAATCATTAACAAATATTTTTTACTTTGAAGTCCAAAGGGTAAACTTTGTCAACTTGAAATGATCAATATAGTCATGAGTCTGAGTATTATTATTTTTTATCCAAATTTAATCATTTATTACAAACAATACAGCATACAAAAGTTCATTTACAACACGCAGTAGACTCTTCAGGACAATCATCATCATATTTCTGTAAGCATATATCTTCTAGTCCTAGATAATGAACATGACAATAAGTTAAAGAACACATTCACAACTGGGCAATGGAACAAAAATTCGGCTAACTCATGGATTAGCAAACGGGTTACGAGCAACATAAATATATTGTCAATATTGCACAGTTTCCATTCTTAAAATTCCTTTTAAAAGTACAAAGTGACATTCTAACAAAGTGGCCCAAACAAGAACTTTTACAACAAGAACTTCACTTTACTGCACAAGGATCAAGCTTCAACTTGAAACTTGTGATTTGTGCACTACAATGTAAGAACTTTTCATTTCAGTCTTTTGGGGTCGGGGGGGAGACATTTATTTTTTCAATGATCGCTCAGTAGTTTTTTCTCCTCCTTGGCGCCATCCAGACTTCCCCCAATACTGCTGCTCTCCAGCTCCATGTTCAGCTTGTTCTGCTTGTGTGCATCGCCTGTGGTCGGCCACCTTGGACCCGACAGGCTGGCTGGATTTTCCGCTGACGTGATCTTGTGAGTGTTACGCTGGGACCTGCACCTGATCCGGGTGCAGAGCAGGTAGAACACCTCGATGAAGTTGAGCAACAGAGAGACGCAGGCCACCACCAGCATGAAGATGATGAAGATGGTTTTCTCTGTGGGTCGGGACATGTAGCACTCGACAGTGAAGGGACATGGGCTCTTGGAGCAGGGGAACATGGGGACCATGACGAAGCCGTACAGGTAGTACTGACCCACGATGAACGCGGCCTCGATAATGATCTTGAACACTAGCTGGGTCAGGTAGCTCCCCAGAAGGTTCCCCTTGATCTTCACCTTTCCTGCCTCGTTTGTGTATTTGGGCAATTTGTGCACCCTGCTCCCTCCTGGGCTTGAGATCTTCTCCCTCAGCTTTTTCTCCTTTTGGATGATGTGCATGGCATGGCCCAGGTAGATCAGCGTCGGTGTGGAGACGAAGATGATCTGAAGGACCCAGAAGCGAATGTGTGAGATGGGGAAGGTCCAGTCGTAGCAGACGTTCTCGCAACCAGGTTGTAGGGTGTTGCATATGAAACCCGACTGCTCGTCACCCCAGACGCTTTCGGCACCTGCACCCAGAACCATGATCCTGAACAGGAAGAGGACGCTCATCCAGATCTTCCCGATGACCGTGGAATGGGACTGGACCTGGTCCAGCAAAGTCGACAGAAAGCCCCAATCTCCCATTGTTATAAGAGATGTTCAGTCACCGATCTGTGATAAAAAAAAAGATACAAGAAATCCACATTAGATGTTGCATTAAAAACAGATTTTTTTTAAAATATCTTAAACATTAACCACATGGAGTATAAAATCTATTTTCGGGTGAAAGAAAGGCGCTTATTGTTCTTCAAAGTTAGATAAGTCATCTTTGCTGCTCTTAAAAAAATATCAGAGCCCCTTGAACCCTGAGCTAGTTGGTCAGTGACTTCCTAAAATAATCATTAAGCAAAAAATTGACAACTCGGAGGCTTTTTTTTGTTAAGAGGAAATATAGACTTTGGGAGAAAAAAGGAGAGAGCTATGAAAGAAAGACAAATAGAAAAAAACATTTCCCCCCAAATGAAGTAGCTTTACAAAACTTAAATCTTCTCTTTATAATAACCATCAATAATAAACATATTTAACAAATCCTGTTGAGAAAACTAAAAGGTTAACCACATGAGAAGCATTTCAGTGTCTTAATAAATGAGCCAAAAAAAACCATCATGTTTGTATAAAAAAAGTCAAATCTCAAAATGTTACCGTTCACAAGTATTCTAAATCAATCACAAATATGCTTTTTTTAAATTCCTCAAATGATCCGTTAAGTGAAGCAGAGAGCAGTCATAGTTACCTGCTGGTCAGGAAGGACTGCCTGTGAGTGGGACCGATCGCTAACTGGTTGGACTTTTGGAGTGCTGAGGCTTTTGGGTGAGGACAGCGGTTTAGAGGGAGCAAATTATTATGCAACACTTTAATGTCACGTTGTGCCCGTCAGCATGTAAGTGCAAAAAAATAGTTGGATAGAGACAAGAAGAGATGTGTAATAATTGACAGGTGCTCGGTTTCAGGGAAGGAAGGAGGGGGGACACCTGCCCTGACAGTTTGAAAAATAACAGAAATAGTGTTTGAGAGTTAAAACGATAAATATACTCCTCTTAGATATTCTGATTGAATGCTAATTTTCTGATTAAATACAGAGAGGACTTTTAGAAAAGTGACTTTTCATTTGTTTTGACTAACTTTTATCATTGACCTTCACCTACTTCATTCTTGCCAAAGATAGCAAATAACAGCATTGTGTCCAAAGAGTGGAGAATCACGTCTTCTCAACGACTGGGACCTTTAAATTAAAGGAATGTTTTTTTTTTAATACCATGTCTCATTACTTGTAACCACTAAAACTAGTTATATTATTATATCGTTTAAGCATTGAATGGATAGTGAGAAGTATTTTGAGTATCAAAGGTAAAGTAGTTTGGATAGTAAATACTTAATCTTGTGTTTGTAGTTTGAATAAATAGCAATAGAAATAAAATCAACACACGTCTGTATGCTCTCCTCTTTAAACCTTTTATTAAGGAATTAAACGTTTGCTGATGATAACACGTTTTAAAAGAAGAAAATGTCTAATAAAAAAATTCCACCCTTTCATATATTTTAGTTTTTAAAGGATTGCAAAGTTTAAAACGTATCAAAGTCACATTTCCAACCTCATCTTTAGTTTACATTGTAGTGATTTTAACTTTTTATGTTCAGTTAGAGAGGTTAAAGCTCCTGTTGTGAGTTTTTTGCCAGTGATGAAACAAACTGAAATTATTACTAATGCCTCTATATGAACTCCTAAAGCAAAAAAAATATCATCATGGACAAGATTGATCATTTCTGTGTATTTATTTTTAATGTTTAAACAGCTGCAGGGGGGTAGGTGTCCGACGAAGTGTGTAACTGCACAATGTTGAAACAGGCTTTTAAAAAAAAAAAAAATTCACATCTTCCACTGCAAAGATTACAGTGAGTGACTCTGAAAAAAAAAAGAAGAAAGCTCTCTTCTTTTACCTGTACAAAGTCAGCATAAACTCAAAGTTCATTGCAGGAGCTTTAAGAAAAAGTTTGCAGTTTTATGGATACGCTTGTTCTCAATATCGAAACATTTTAAAAATAGAGTCGGGGGGAAATAAGTGCTCGGCAAATCAATGAAACTTGACATCTCTTAGGTGAAATCTTACTTTTAAAAACCCCATGACATGAAGCTATATTATGGTAAGAATAGGATACCTGGAAAGGAAACCATCTGACTCGGAATTTGAATTTGACAGGTTTATTGACTTGTAACAGTTGTCTTCAAATCAATCCAAAAAGTACACTCAGCAAAATGTGAAAAAGAAAAATATGAAAAATCTTACACCAACTGCTTGAAGCAATGTTTTGTTAATTGAGTCACAAACTTACAACAAGTCATTTAAAGCTACATTTTCCATGTGGTTGAGTCTTGTTTACCTAAGCTGGTTACTTCCCTCCATCTATCTTTATTTACTTCGCACACACACCCATTTCCTCCCCAAAGCCAAAACACACATTTACTTGATATTCAGGGGCTTTGGACACGTACAGCCTATTACCGCCTCCGTGCTTCAGATATGGATCTCCCCCATCATGTTGTTGTTCTCAGGCGTCACATTCTTAGGGGCCTCGTTGACCCCATTCACCCCTAACTTCTGCCCTTGGAGCTCCAGCTCCAGGTTGGCACAGTTCTGGATGGCCTCGTCGTCTAGGCTTCTAAAAGCTTTCCTTTCCAAGAGCGGAGGCGTCACAGCGGTCACGGTGTAGTCCTGCCTCCTCACCAAGCACTCCTTCACCGCTTTCACGCACAGGTAGATCAGCTCCAGCACATTAAGTACGAGGGAGACGCACGCCGCCACCAGCATGAACCAGATGAGGACAGACTTCTCCGTAGGCCGCGACAGGAAGCAGTCCACCTTGTGAGGGCACGGGAAGCTGGCGCAGACAAATCGAGTCTGAAGGGTGAAGCCGTAGAGAAAGTACTGACCCACGATGAACACAACCTCCAGGGCGATTTTGGCAACAAGATGGAGAACATAGCTGCGGAGGAGACGGCCGCGGATGCTGATCTTGCCAGTGCTCTTGGTGTACTTGGGAACTTTGTAGGCCCTCCTGAGAAACAGACTGGCTGGGTCGTCCAACTCGGCCTGCTTCTTCATCCTCTCCTTCATCTTACGCCGGAAGAACAAAAAACAGTTAGGAGTTAGGTCAAGTAAAAAAAACGTGTAGATTTAGAGGCAGAGCAGATGTATTGAGAGGAGTAACTATTCTCTCAGCACTGTGTGAAGTTCATTAATATATCAGATGTAGACCCACTTGGACTAAAACCAACATTTGGCTGTTATAAAGCAGAAAGCAGCTTCCCACACACTGTCGAACTTTTCAAAATACATAATTTTGGCACTCTTTCGGTACTTGAAATTCATGAGATTTTCCATTTTTGGTAGACTGATTCTTCTCTTGACGACTTGTCAGAAGTAGGTTTGCAAAGGATTAACTTCAACAAAATATTTATTGTGTCTGGTCCCACCTTGAAACATCAAACTGGAAGTTGTGTTTAGTGCTAACTTTGAAAAAAAAAAAATGAAAAAAAGTTATATTAAATAAAAGGAGCAGCTTGCAACATGGTTGTTTTAGCAGTTTGTGTGATCAAACCTTTTTTTTTCTGCCATAAAAAATTGCCTTAAAGATTTGTCTTTTTAATATTTGAGTGGGATTTGAGTTAACAAGCTTAGCGTAAACAGTGACTGTGTTTATTAACGATCGCAAAGCAAATATAGTGTTATTTCTCTGGTTATGAAACATGCGGTTTAATTTGACATCTGGCTTTGTTTCAATTAATCTACAGACAATTATCCTTTTCTCAAGAAGCTACATTTTTCAACTGGTTCTTTTACAATTTGTGCTACAGGTAGCAGAGGTAGAGGGCTTTTTTTTCCAGAGTTTATTGGCCAGACAAATCTGGCTTAAGTGGTTGATGAATTAAACCAGTAAATATGTGAGCTACAAAAAAGGCCAAGATGGAGATCATTCTTTTTATGGACGGCTATAAAGATGGATTTGGATTTATGTAAGTGTCCTTCAACTCTCAACTAAACTGCCATCACTAGGTGTGGCACGTCTGACACGTCATGCCGTGACCACACTACACCCACTGCAGTGACACACCTTTTTCTCAGCGTGGATCACATGAAGAACGTAGCCCAGGTAAAGCAGTTTGGGAGTTGCCACGGCAATAATCTGGAAGACCCAGAAGCGAACGTGAGAGATGGGGAAGGCGAGGTCGTAGCAGACGTTCTCACAGCCGGGCTGCTGAGTGTTGCAGACAAAGTCGGATTGCTCATCCCCCCACACCTAGACAAGCGTAAGAAAGAGATGATGCATACAGCCATAAATGTACTTCCTTTTACCAAAATAAAAGAAGTACTCAAGCTTTGGTATGTCTGTCTTTTTGACTACTTCTTTCCGACCATTTACTGGAGACATTTCAAATCCAGAGCCCTACGACAAAGGTGACCAAACCTTTTCAGCACCGGTTCCTAACACCAGGATGCGGAAGACAAACAGCACGGTGAGCCAGACCTTGCCGATCACCGTGGAGTGGCTCTGCACTTTGTCCAGCAGGCGGCCCAAAAGATCCCATTCGCCCATTTCAGTCGCCAGTCGTCCCGCTTTCTGAACGAGGAGACGTGAAATGAATAAAAAACAAAAACAATCATAAAATATAGAGTCAAAGACAAAACAGTCTAATTGAAAAATCTTTAAAGATGTACTCGTTTTTTTTTAGACTTATACACTATAGTTGATTGGACCACGATTAGGGCCTGGTGTTTTTCATTAATACAACAGGAGGAAGAGGTTCGACTCCCTCACAAGGCCAGACAATTTTGTTTCTTGTAGTTCTTTGTTGTTGCTGATAGACACCACAGCTGCTGATTCTAAGTACTCAAAACAAACTTATCTGCTGGAAACCAAGACCTTCACCTTGGTGAATCCCAACCGAGAGCCCGACCGCTGATGTACCAATAAAAACACACTGAACTACCTAAGGAGATAAGGCAGCTGAATTATAGTTGTATACATTTGAGAATTTAAAGCCCATTTAAAGGTTTTTTACTTTTACCAAATGAATTGTACATAATCCAGTTTTATCTATTTTCCATGATTCTTTAATATGATTTTCTCACCTTTTATAGTTTGTTTGATTCCTACTGATTCAACACGAGGAATATATGGTTAAGCATTCATGTACAAGACTCATATTTTTTGGACAGAATAACATGTTTGACTGTTGTTTTTGTGGCTATTTTCGTTTGAGATTTGAATTTTGTACTCGTTGAGATCACTACCATATCCACTGCAGAGTGCACCTTTTGCACGTCTAAGTTAAAAAAAATGCATTAACATTCTTTAAACAATGGATACTAGGTCATTTTAATCACATAAAAATATTGAAAAAATAAATCCATTAGTCTCATTTTCTTTCAGCCCTGGTACAGAAAGGTGTTGGTCACCCTTTCTTAAAAAGGTGAAATCTAAGAACACAGACGTTCAATTTAATTTAAAAGAAAAATCAACTTACCGGTTCAAAAAACCAACAGAGAAAAAAAAGCTGGATGACGAGAGCGATGTGTCAGCAAGACAAAGAACAGAGAGAGTAAAGGAAGACGAAGAAGAATGTTTAATTTCACTGCTCGTCGGCACGGCATCTTATCATGAAGGACACCATCCTACCCACAACAACCCCACTCCAGTCCTAACTCTGAACGTGGAAGCGTGACTGGTGAAGTCAAAACTATCCGACCTTAGAGAGCGATTTCTAACCCACCACCCAACCACCTTGTGTCATCTTTTTACAGGTTTTTCTTTTATTTCAGTGGCATATGTGCTTCAGTGGACAGAGATCAGGAAGTGAACTGGCACCTCTACCAGCTTCCAGACCGATTTCAAGATCTGGTTCCTGGTGGGGACCAACTTGAACCCATTGTTTTTTTTTTAATTGTTGTGATTTTCTCGTGTTGTGTTGTGTTGCCTTTTATGTGTTTGTGATTGTGTTTGGCTGTTACCTTGGCCAGGTCTCTCTTGTTGAAGTGATTTATTTCCCCTGGTTGAATAAGGTCAAATAAAAAACATGTTTTATTTGTATTATTTACCTACTTAATTAATAATTCAGTTATTGCATTAAAACTATCTATGAATCATTCCCTGGACAACTATTGTAATTGATGTCTACCCAGTGCCTATAAGCTGTTTCTTTACTCTCTCAATAGCACAACTTTATTTTTATGTGTATATAACTAAGGATATATTTTTTTATTTTTTCCAGATTTTATGGCTGCCAATAAAGGTTCTTTGTGTTCTTTTGTGCAGTGACATCCAGTGTCTATCCTATCCTTTATTAATCCCAGAGGAGACATTTGGATTGACCCTCTGTTATTGGGAGACATCATGTAGCTGCTGGGTTCAAGCCTTGCTCAAGGGCTCCCTGGCAGTTTCAAAGGAAGTGAATTAGAACTTCTCCAGCAACAAGACCGATTTCCGTACTGGGACTTTAACCAGCGACCCTCCAGTTCACACATCAAGTCTCGACTGCTGCTGTCAGTGGTTGGTGGACTATTGCACATCTGAATGCCTCTGTACCCAACAGCATGCTGCCTTGAGTTAGTATTTGTTAATGGAAGTGTAAAACAGGCCACAACTACAGAACATCTGGGATTTTACAAGCAGAGGCTTCCATCCAGGGTGTAGAAGCAGATTATCAAAATAATATGAGGTGTTTCTGTGTGAAGGATGTAACAGGGTGATAGACGGTTATCTAGAAAAATTAGGAACCTTTGTTAGTGGTCAGGTTTTTCCGTTTACCACTTAGCAGTTGCTGCAAGAGTTACAAGCGGTTACAAGGAACAAGTTACAATATGGAAATATTAACATGTGGAGCCAATGAGTGTAAAATAAATGATTGGCATTTGCAATGATACAATTTGATATGGACTTTCATTCATTGAAAGCGGTAATGTGTTAGCACATCAATTAGTTAATCCAGAAAAATCTAAAAATATTGAATAATTTTCACGACCAATCAGATTTATTTACTGTGAAACGGTGAAGTTTGGACCTGCAGTCGTTACAAAAAAAATGTGACAGAAGCAAAAAACTGAACAACACAAACACATTTTCCAGGCACACATTCACGACCCACTGAAAATGGTTTGGGACCACCTCTGGGTCCCGACCCACCAGTTGAGAACCACTGGTCAAATTTATACTACGCTCATGTTTTGAAATTTGCCAATTGTGTTACCTTCTCATTCTCTTAAAGAAATGTTTATTTATAAAGCACTTGACACATTAGTATGAAAGCAGCTTTATAAATGTCTATTACCAGGTGTATGTCCTTTCATTCTGATGACTTTGGGCATTTTCTCACAGAGTTAAGAGTTTTTAAGGTTTTATTCCTCACAAAGCAGGTCTGGTTTGCCCTCAACAGACTTCAGCTCACATGTGCTCATCCGATTTACAAACGCTCTCTGACCCAGTTGATCTGAGGGGGGTCACAGGGTAAACTCTGGCTGTTAGCCCAGTGTCTGTGCATTGGATGTTAATGATTTACACTAACCTGATGTTTTAGGAGAAAAACAGAGGGTTTGTGTCCTTCAGCCTGTGGATCAGTCAACATCTCATGCACGCACACTATAGGCTGCAAACCGGTCAGATAAGAGGCCGACCATCAAAGACACTTTGACGTATGTGATAACAGCTATATATCAATAAACACTTTACATTTAATAATAGAAGACAGGACAGCAGGGGGATGGAGACATTGTTTTATTAGTCTCATTTTGTGCTGTTATGATACATGTTTAGGTCATTATTTAATACACTGTACTGTTCTTACATATCTGAATACACTCCATTTAAAAAAAATAATCTGCACATAAACCAAACTTCAAGTCAAACTTTTTCTCTGAACAAAACAAAATATCACACTCTCACTCTTTAGTGCATTTCAAAGTCACTCCTGGATATGCTTGACACTTGAACCCTGAGCAATAATACCACATCATCCACCGAGTCCTTTCATTCCTCACCACCACCACCACACACTCATCTTCTGTAAACCTTTTTCTTTTTAAGAGAAGCTCAATAATCTACAAGCGCATGCTGGTTTATCTGACCTCTGCCTCTGATCACACTAGAACCATCCAAATGAGAAAACAGCTATGGATGGGAAGAGATTTGAACGATGAATTAACCTGTTGTTATCCATAAATCAACACAGAAATTACTCTTGAATTACACTTTACAATTATTTCTTGTTTATAAAGATTTATTTTTGGGCTTCTTAGGCCTTTATTTTAGAGATGGGACAGTGGATAGAGTCAGACACCGGGGGGAGAGAGAGAGAGAGAGGGTGGGGAACGGGATGCGGGAAAGGAGCCACACTGTCAGGCTGGAATCAAACCCGGGACGCCCGCTATTGAGGACTTTAGCCTCTGCACATGGGGGCGAACACACTAAACACTAGATGACCAACGCCCCCCCCCCCTTTTACACTTATTTTACTGTCGCATCATTTTTTAATCATCTTCATCATCTTTTTTAAATCACTAAAATAGTATTGAGTTGTTTCCAAGGCAACGATAAACATGTCGTGTCTGTCAAGGCGGCTGCCCAACAACACACGTCCTGTTACAAATATCAAATGAAGGATTTCTCTGGCTTTGATAACTGTTGGAAATATTTGAGGTAATGTAAGAACTGGACAAAAAAATGAATATAACAGGTTTAGTCCATTTTTCATTCATTTAGATATTGTAATGTAAACATTGTCATAAAATTCGACATATTGAACCTTTAAATAGTATTGAGTTTTGAATATCACACTAAACGTATCTCTCTTTTACTTTTAAAGATGTTGAGTTTGTGTTTGGGACAGGTGCTGTTGGTTTTCTGTACGGGTGTCATAAAGCTGTGCTGAGTGCTCGTCAAAAGCAGATTCAACCAGAAAGAAGGAACGAATCAAACATAAATAAGAACGATGCAAAAACAAAGATTCAAGCAGAAATGACTGAACTGACTGTCAGGAATCACAACCTAAAATCGTACTCATCTGTTTATTTATTGAATTCCTTATTAAATCATTTTAGTGACGTAGTTTCTTTGTTATTGTTTCTTATATTTATTTTCTTAGGTCACTTTTAAGCTGACACAAGCTGAAGGATTTAAATCTGCACGTATTTATTTTTTATCTCTATAGAAACATTAACTAATTTGACATTCAGTTCTTTCTTTAAAGATGATACAATCTCATGAGTATTAATAACCCAGGTCCTTATCCAAGACTTCAAAGGGTTGAAGTTTTACTGTTCGAGGCCTCTCATGCTCTTAATGATGACGATAACGGGGACAAACCTCGCCCAAAGCCACGCCCAGCCTTTCTGTTCTCTCTTCAAGACATTTATCAACAACAGGTTGTTAAACTGTCAGATCATAGTCCAGTTGTATGATATATATGTATATTAAACGTAAATGTATTTATTATTTCAGATGGATTCTGCAGCAGGTTTCTCAAAATCAGTAGAAGACACTGATTTAACTATGAACTTTAGACATGACTGATGCAGGGTTAGGGGCCTGAAACGTCACATGTGGTGATAAATTCCATACATTTTAATTTGGAGCAGCTTCTGGCGTGACGACTTAGTCTTAATGCCTTCTGTCTTTGTTTAATGTTTTTTTATATTAACTACGGACCTTAACAGAGCCAGTGAGTTGAACAATGGAGAACGACACATTCTGCAGTAACAAGAAGATCCATTTAGTGTACGCTGAGGGGAGGAGGGATGAGCTCTTAGCTTAGATTGATGAACACACGAGATCCGAGGACCCAAATCCCCTCTGGGATACACCTCATGAGTCCGAGCTGTGGAGACGGACGGCAGAGAGAGAGAGAGAGAGAGAGAGAGAGATCAACGTGCTGACATGTTTTTAGATCACAAAGCCTGGAAAAAAATGAATCTGTGAGATTCTCTTGTGTCAAACTTTCTGAGAGTTTATTCATATCCTGACTGGTTTTTATCTTCACCTGGAGTGTATGAGGCCAGTAGCCCGTGGTCCGATTGGAGACGCCCAGGGTGGAGACGGCGTGGCGAGCATAAACGTCCGGCTTTGGAACAAACCAGCTGTGTGTTGACGATGTTGTTGTTGTTGTTGATGATGATGGCTCTAACTCACTCTTGGCAATCTGGTTAAACACACATAAATAAACAGTAAATATCAACCTCTGAACAATTAATTAAACAGCTATTTTTTAAATATGTGAGCTTATAAAAACATCATTTGATTAAAAAGCGCATCTTATTTTATGTGCATCAGAAAATTCATGCTATTTCAGGACCCATCGTCTACAACAACAGTTGCCTCCAGGAGCTGAGGGCAACTTTTCTTCCAATGCAGCGAAGGGGCGACTTCTGGTCAAGACTTCGTTTTTTTTTTTGTTTGGTTTTAGTTTATTTGTTTACTGTTTCGTTGACAGTCCCCTTTAATTAACTGTACAGTAAAAAGAAGCAGCTTTAGCTTTTACGGCTAATTTCCAGCTGTAGTCCCCCGGCCAGTTGTCAGTGGGCAACCTAAAATGTAAATTGTTAAGATTCAAAATACAATAAAATACATTACAATTATAATTTATAATAAACAGGCCTAAGCAAAAGGAAAAAGAGACATACAACATGTCACACACAATTTGGAGCAGGCACAAACAAAGCACAATCATAGCAGTTCATGCAATAAAGACAACACCGGGGCGAGAAGGGAGAAGAATAATCACAGAGGCCACATTGAAAGCACATACGAGTGCTTTGCGTTTTTGTTTGTTTACAGTCCGAGTAGCAATTTGAGACACAAGAATGGAGTCAGGGTCGAGAGACATCAGATAGTCAGCTTTAGAGAATGAGGTGGCTAATAATCTTACCTGAGTTATAATAGTCTATATTCTATATTTTCACAGCTCCATTTAAGTGTTTTTACTTACATACACGCTGTTTAAGTTTTATTAACTTCACTCAGCTGGAAAAATTACATTCTAATAAAACAGTCTCACGATAAATATTAGCATGTTATCATTTCTTTTTTACTCTTTAAAGCTCTTGTGAGGAGACTTTGGGTTGTGTTGATTTTGGCGCCCCCCTGTGGACAAGGCAGTGGATATTAAACACTTGAAATATATCAACAAGGCTGTTTGAGCGTGCTGTTACTCAGCCTGTCTGACATCTACCCTGCGTTTGAAATATCTAATATTAATAAAGAATCTTGTGGCTGAAGGTCTTGTTTGCTTTTGTAGGTTATAAAGAGGCGTCAGCACTAACTCCAGTCTGTTTTAAAACCAGTTAAAACATCCTCACAGGAGCTTAAGGAGACGAGTTAATTCAATGTTATAGTGACTCTAACAGATGTTGTTTAAGGAGCTACTCAGATTAGATTCAGTAGCTTGTGATATCTACCATGACATCTACCTGGAAAGGCATTAGGCTCTGTACGAAGATCCCTCTGCTGCTGTACTCGAAGTGAAGCGCTCTTGAGAAATGATCCATGTAGCCCTGGAATGTCAGGAGAGGAAAGAGAAGCTCATTGTTAGGATTCAAATATGTGTTTTTGATGACATTTTTACACGTTGGACCGCTTGAAAGAGGGATGTGTTTTGCCTGTTTGTATGTTGAAACATTACTCTCAAATGATGCTTGTATTTTTCTGAGAAATCAACATTATTGCAGTGAAAGGATCTATAGGTTGTCATTCAGGTGTGTGCATGAACAAGAGGCAGATCTGAGTGTCTCACAGTGGAGGCGGTGAGTGCCACTGTTCCGGGGAAGGGTCTGCAGCAAGAACCCGATGATATATTGACCACAGCTCCTCTGCTTCGCTCCAACATCCCCGGCAGCACCAACCGAGTCATCAGAGTAGCTACTGCGATGTTCTTATTCACCAAGTCCAACAGGCCCTTCTCCGGTATTTCAGTCAGGCTCTGCGGGAGAGCCAGAGACTCGTCCAGGCAGTTCACCAGGAAGCCGATATCTTTCCCCTGCATGGCTTCGGTGATGGACTTGCTGGCCGCCTGATCCAGAGAGAAGTCGGCCAGGATGACGACGGTTTCCACTCCGTAGCTTTGGGAGAGGGACGCAGCAGTGTCTCTGACCGAGGTGTGGTCCCGAGTGACAAAGATGATGCTGATACCGTGCCGGGCCAGCTCCTCTGCATACGCTGTGGCTACAGGCTCTGATGCACCTGACAGGAAGGAGAGAGGACAGAAGTCAACAACGCAAGTCAAGAAGAAATGATGATATCGATAGCTAGTCATCGCTTGCTCTTGTTTTGTCAACTTTTGAATTCACTTGTTTGTTTTCTTAATGTCCAATATTTTGTATTTATTTGCCCCTGTTATGCAATTTGAATGACCTTTTGTCTGAATGGTGCAATGTGAAAAAAACTGCCTTTAATTTGAACATTTTAACCCTGATGTTTTCCACAGATTCCCGATGGTTGTCACATCAGATAATCAATGAATCAAATGATATACAGATTTATCAACACTGAAAATCGACATGTTCTTGCTGAATCACGTGAGTAATGTGTGACGTTTTCATGATAATCGACTAAGATGAACAAGAAGACACGGTGAGCCACGACAAGGCGACCCAGAGAAACAATAACGAGAAAACTAAAGGATAGAAACTCTGATCAGCTTAAGCGATTAAGTGTACTTGGCAAGTGAGTGAGTGTTTGTGTGGACAGGAAGTGAGCGTGTAATGATATAATGGGATCTATTGTACTCAGATGTCATCCTATCATCAATCTGTAAAGTTTATATTTGATTATCTCGTCTCTTTTTTACTCACTCTCGCTCATTGGACACATTTTGGATTTGCAATAGGCGTCCAACAAATATCGTTGTGATTTACAGATTAATCAAATTATTAATAATAATAACAAAAGGCTCAAATTTACAAGGAAAAAATGGCCATGACCTGACTGTCCTCCCCTCTTTATAACACACAGATCTTCTACATGATGCATTGATACTACCACCCTGCTAGGATCCATTATCGAGAGAGTTAAAGCCTAATAAATATCTCGGTATATGGATAGATGACAGACTAACATTCAAACTTCACATTGGATCATGGTGATGTGGTCTATAGGCATGCCTCTTCCACTACGCTAAAGCCCTTAGATGCTGTTTACCATTCTGCGATTAGATTCATCACCGGTGATAGTTACATGACTCACCACTGCATTCTTCATAATAAAGTTGGTTGGCCTTCCCTCACTGAGAGACACAATAACCACTGGCATCTTTTTTTTTTTTATCTATAAAGCCCTTACTGGAAAGCTTCCATCATATATCACCTCATTATTAAATCTGAACCCTGGTCCATCTTTAACCTGAGAGTGAGAGGCTGGTTCTCCAGGTTCCTCACGCCAGGACTAACCTGGAGAAAACTGCTTTTAGTGTTAGTGCTGCAAACTCCTGGAACATTTTACAACAGGACCTGAACTTGAGCACTTTTATCTCTTATGGACACTTTAGAAATATTATTTTTAACCGCCCAATACCTGACTGTAACTGTTTTATTTTATTTTAATTACTGACTTATCAATGTAGTAATTTCAAGCTTTTACATTTTATTTTATTTTATTTTATTTTAATTACTGACTTATCACTGTAGTAATTTCAAGCATTTAAATTTTATTTTATTTTATTTTATTTTAATTACTGACTTATCACTGTAGTAATTCCAAGCATTGAAATTTTATTTTATTTTATTTTATTTTAATTACTGACTTATCACTGTAGTAATTTCAAGCTTTTACATTTTATTTCATTTTATTTTATTTTAATTACTGACTTATCACTGTAGTAATTTCAAGCATTTAAATTTTTATTTTATTTTATTTTAATTACTGACTTATCACTGTAGTAATTTCAAGCATTTAAATTTTATTTTATTTTATTTTATTTTAATTACTGACTTATCACTGTAGTAATTTCAAGCATTTAAATTTTTATTTTATTTTATTTTAATTACTGACTTATCACTGTAGTAATTCCAAGCATTGAAATTTTATTTTATTTTATTTTATTTTAATTACTGACTTATCACTGTAGTAATTTCAAGCTTTTATATTTTATTTTATTTTATTTTATTTTAATTACTGACTTATCACTGTAGTAATTTCAAGCATTTAAATTTTTATTTTATTTTATTTTAATTACTGACTTATCACTGTAGTAATTTCAAGCTTTTAAATTATTTCAGTGTATATATTTTATTGTTCTTATTGCTCTTTTATTGATTTTATTTTCTGTAGTAGCTTTATCTCATTCCTCGTTGTTTATCATTTCTGCATGTTTTCTCGGCATCATTGTAAATAAAGGTCACCCTCAATGATCTCTCATTTAGAACTTAAATAAAGGTTGATGATGATGATGATGATGATGATGATGATGATGATGATGATGCAGCAGCCTCCTCTTTTCTTACCATAAACGACAGCCCAGTCTCCATATCTCTGGGTCAGCTTCTTGGTGGGGATCATTCTCGGGAGGAAATGCACCCTAACCAGCACGCAGCAGTCTCTCAGCAGGATGATCACCTTGCTGGCTGTGTAAAGAGCCCCGACCAAGGCCAGGGTGTCAAAGTAAAAGCTGCATGACCGAGAAACTTCTCTGTACAGAAACTGAAAGCTGTCAACAGCCGCCATGCTCCACTGATGCTGATGCTGACGTTTTTACGTTTAAATATCTAAATGTAACGTTTACTTACAGTAAGGCGCGTTAACACAACATATCTCCCTTCTTATGAAGTTAATTTAGCATAAAATCATCAGGTTTTAAAGACGTTCAAGTAGCTTCAGATGTCCTCTGTGTAACATCCGGCAGACGGAGCAAAACATTGAATCACATGATGAGATGCTGCGTTCATGGCCGCATGGGAAAATCAGACACGAAAACGTTCTTCACAAGACTGCCCTACAAAGGCAAAAGACCTTAACTCCAAATGAGTTGCAGGCAGAATATTGGAAATGTGGCAATTCTTTGTCTTTTTAATCAGATTGTTAATGTACATAAAAATCTTGAGGTCAAACATGACCTTTGACCCTTATTTGGAAGTTAAGGTACTCTGCCTGTACAATAATGAGGTGTCGTGCCAAGGCAAAAGGCAGTAACTTCCATTTGATAGCTCCCTTGGTTGCTGATCACTATATTAAATCAGTATATGATAATAATTTCATTTCTTTTTATTTATTTCGAACATGTTTTTAAAATAAAATAAAAATTTACATTACAAACAAAACAAACCGCAATCAAAGCATACTTTCTGTAGTGGCTCGATTATTTTTCCTTAACCAGTCCATGTTCGAAAAAGGATGTAGGATGAAGTTAAACAACTTATCCAGTCGTACCCCTTTTATCTTTTTATCTTAATAAATTAATCCAAGACTAAGCTTTCAAAAATAAAGTCGAATAAAACAGACATAATGATAACATATACATGAAATATGCAGACGACTTCACAGAGGTTATTCTGTGTATGTAGAGGTTCCCACAAGTGGATTTCTTATTCTCTGTTTGTTTTTATTTTTTTTTGTTTATTGTATTTCATGCGCCAGCGGTAACGTGAACCCCTTGAAAATGGTTTCGAGCTCAATATTCCCGACGCTCTAGAAGGCATCGTTTAGATTCCATCGTTCCCATAATGCACCGCGGTCAACTCGAAGAGGACGTTTCCATAGATACGAAACAGCGCTTTGCTAGTGTTGTCAAAATGCAGCCTGGATTAAAAACACAACAGCTTCTGCGACCACCTACCTACACCTGAGTACACAAACAAGGTGACTGCTTTAAAATGTTTTGCAGACGATGTTTTTGTGTCTAATTGTTTAGGTTTTTTTTGTTGTGTTTATTTTACTCAACCTAGTTTTTGAAGTGAAGTTGGACAGTTAGCTAGTTGTGCTACAATGATGCATTTAGACATCCTGAAGCTCACCTGAGATGTAGTCACGGGTTTTGTCTTCCAGGTAAAAGTTTACATAATAGATATTCAGTTTTTGGTGTACAGCAGGGCCCCATCAATTGTAGCTGATAAAAGTCTTATTTGTTGTGTTGACACGTTTGTTTACATTGTGAAATTACTTATAAAGCACTTTATTTTCACCATGGGAGAGTCATGTAGTTTTTTATTGCATTCGTTATAAGCAGTGGACATTGCTTCATATGTTAGGTACAAAGTGGATGTCATGCATACAGGTTTCAAGTTGTTGTTAATTTGCAACCCCTGTCCCTGGCTTTTAATTCAATTCAATTCAAAAAACTTTATTCAAAGGCACACAGAGCAAGTAAACAAAACATTTTAACCTAAATATTAAGTGTCAATTTAAATACAACTTAAAGCTTAAACTTAAAAATACAAAATATAAAAGAGTAGATATAAGTGGACAGTGATTGGACTAACATATGTAAACAGATGTAAATAGAACTATGTGCAGTAGTGACCAGATGTAAACATAGCTGTGTGCAGTAGTGACCAGATGTAAACAGACCTGTGTGCAGTAGTGACCAGATGTAAACAGACCTGTGTGCAGTAGTGACCAGATGTAAACATAGCTATGTGTAGTAGTGACCAGATGTAAACAGACCTGTGTGCAGTAGTGACCAGATGTAAACAGACCTGTGTGCAGTAGTGACCAGATGTAAACAGACCTGTGTGCAGTAGTGACCAGATGTAAACAGACCTGTGTGCAGTAGTGACCAGATGTAAACAGACCTGTGTGCAGTAGTGACCAGATGTAAACAGACCTGTGTGCAGTAGTGACCAGATGTAAACATAGCTATGTGCAGTAGTGACCAGATGTAAACAGACCTGTGTGCAGTAGTGACCAGATGTAAACAGACCTGTGTGCAGTAGTGACCAGATGTAAACAGACCTGTGTGCAGTAGTGACCAGATGTAAACATAGCTGTGTGTAGTAGTGACCAGATGTAAACAGACCTGTGTGCAGTAGTGACCAGATGTAAACAGACCTGTGTGCAGTAGTGACCAGATGTAAACAGACCTGTGTGCAGTAGTGACCAGATGTAAACATAGCTATGTGCAGTAGTGATCAGATGTAAACAGAGCTATGTGCAGTAGTGACCAGATGTAAACATAGCTGTGTGCAGTAGTGACCAGATGTAAACAGACCTGTGTGCAGTAGTGACCAGATGTAAACATAGCTGTGTGCAGTAGTGACCAGATGTAAATAGAACTATGTGCAGTAGTGATCAGATGTAAACAGAACTATGTGCAGTAGTGATTAGATGTAAACAGAACTATGTGCAGTAGTGATCAGATGTAAACAGAACTATGTGTAGTAGTGACCAGATGTAAACAGAACTATGTGCAGTAGTGATCAGATGTAAACAGAACTATGTGTAGTAGTGACCAGATGTAAACAGAACTATGTGCAGTAGTGATCAGATGTAAACAGAACTATGTGCAGTAGTGATCAGATGTAAATAGAACTATGTGCAGTAGTGACCAGATGTAAACAGAGCTATGTGCAGTAGTGACCAGATGTAAACAGACTGTGTGCAGTAGTGACCAGATGTAAACATAGCTGTGTGCAGTAGTGACCAGATGTAAACAGAGCTATGTGCAGTAGTGACCAGATGTAAACAGACCTGTGTGCAGTAGTGACCAGATGTAAACATAGCTGTGTGCAGTAGTGACCAGATGTAAACAGAGCTATGTGCAGTAATGATCAGATGTAAACAGAGCTATGTGTAGTAGTGACCAGATGTAAACATAGCTGTGTGCAGTAGTGACCAGATGTAAACAGAACTATGTGTAGTAGTGACCAGATGTAAACAGAGCTGTGTGCAGTAGTGATCAGATGTAAACAGAACTGTGTGCAGTAGTGACCAGATGTAAACATAGCTGTGTGCAGTAGTGACCAGATGTAAACAGAGCTATGTGCAGTAGTGACCAGATGTAAACATAGCTGTGTGCAGTAGTGATCAGATGTAAACAGAGCTATGTGCAGTAGTGATCAGATGTAAACAGAGCTATGTGCAGTAGTGATCAGATGTAAACAGAGCTATGTGCAGTAGTGATCAGATGTAAACAGAGCTATGTGCAGTAGTGATCAGATGTAAACAGAGCTATGTGCAGTAGTGATCAGATGTAAACAGAGCTATGTGCAGTAGTGATCAGATGTAAACAGAACTATGTGCAGTAGTGATCAGATGTAAACGGAACTATGTGCAGTAGTAGCTCCAAAACAAACAGGATTTCATTCATCAAAGGTGTTCTTCACTCATCATAAGAAATTAGATTTATACTCGACTTCTCCTAAATAACATCATTCGCACATTCTGTGTTTCCTCTGGGATGTTTTGAAATCTGTCGGCTTCAAGAGCAACCAAAGATCTGACGTCTTGTTAAGTTCACTTCAACATCAGATTCAGTAACGTGATTGTGCTGAAGCAGTGTACTCCAAAGAAAAACTTCCTTATTGATCCTGTTAGTGTGGAATCATTTCATTAATATGTCAGCTTTTATCATTTCACAGTTCCTCCTTATTGATCCAGACGTTTTCTATACAAGTTTCTCAATTCAGTGTATCAACTTGCAAAGTAGTTCATTGTTTTACAGCTGTAAGGAAAAACAAAAAAAGGTGAAATAGACATCTTTCTCAATGACCAAAGACCCCGATAGCATCACAGGGAACTGGCCCCTCACCAACACCACACATTTGCACATTTTAAGCCTTGAATACCGCTCACTCTTTTACGTCCCACCTTAAGGACCCACTGCAGAGATGTCTCAGTTGTCAGCTGAAGATGAGGTGGAGTTACAATCCCTGCTCAAGCAGCTTCTGAGAAGCATCAACGACAGGATCTCCAACGCTCCGTCAACCGAATGTGCTGAAGACATCCTGCTTCACCTGGAGGAGACCGACAAGAACTTCCATAAGTAAGAGCATGACACTCATTCGTTGTAGCAGTATGCCCTGTACTTTTTACTTTTTTACTAATGTCCTTGTGATTGTCATGTTGTTGGTATCAAACATGTACAGACATATACTACAATCGGAGTAATAGTTTCTGTCTCTCTTCTCTTTCCAGTTATGAGTTTGTGAAGTACCTCCGTCAGTACATGGAGAGCTCTCTGGGGACTGTGATAGAAGAAGAGACTAAGAGCTTGACCAAAGGAGATGGACAACCTGAAATAGGCTCAAGTCATGATACGCTGATCCATGCCATCACCCGGAGGACCAGAGACTCGGCTGAGTGAGTGTAGCTCAGTTAAAATCACACAAGGCCTGTCCCTCTGTATAAATCATGTTGTAAGTAAGCGTCCATATTTGGCATTCCTTTTTATATTCAGGATAAGGACAACAACAGGGGTTTTTATGTCTGGCCTCAACATCTCTTATTGGATGATTCAGACACCTTTAAAGACAAAATTTCGTAGGGCCTTGACACTGACACAAAATGTAACAAATACAAATAATATTCAAGGATAAAATTCACAATTCAATGCGAAAAACACTGGTATTTAAATAAAATAATACCTCATACAAAAAGAGAGAGCATGAGGGGATAGACGAGACGAGTTTCAATGGATAAGTTTGGTTAAATTCTTCTTTACCTGCTCATTCGCTTTTCAAATATGTCAGAAATGTGACCATACCTCTTAGGAAATACATAAAATACACACAGTTAGACTCATTTGAAGTCAGATTTCTAGGTCTAATAATGTGCAGTATTTCTAACCCTAAGTTTAGAAAGCTTTACCCGCACTACCGTTTTATTCTATAATAAGCAGCGTGGTCATATCTTTTATCTTTCCAACAACTTCAGCTGTTTCCGGGGCAACAGATGCTGTTTTTTGGGGGTGGAGGGTGGTAAATCTGGTGAGCATTTAAA